GTAGTACAATGTATATTCCCATAGTAACTGCCGATACGTGTTACTACAGTAACTAGTAAGGATCGGATGTGCTGAGTATAGTACCCGACATTTGTATATTAGTGTCAGGAATATACTTATGGGTGTTGTGCAACTCAAATGAACTCTTTGTTCGCGTTATATTTTACAATATTTGTTTCAGGTTTGTTTTGTATTATAAATATAATAGGAATAACATCATTTATTTTGTGTTTTCAGTAATCAGTAAAGGTATTATGATTTTGTACCGGGATAACATATTATCAACACAGTAAACCAACCACCTGAGAATGTCTTTTGGTTCAGATTCACATAATTATTCAGTTCTGTGTTAATTTATCTTACCACAAGAAATATCTGTAAAATGGGAGAAGGATAAATTTATAACGCAAAATTATTTATAATTAGGATAATTTACCGCATTCTAGTATTAAAATGTAAACTTGACTTTTAAAAAAATAATAATTTAGACTCAAGTTTTAACTGACTCATCTCATTAGGCCAGTGGAAGAGGAAGCGCTAAACCCTAAACTCGTTGGTGATGGTTTGTAATAGATTTTCGTCACCCTTTCAAAACCATGTGATAATATTTCTCTTCAGAAATTAAATTGGCCGTTAATTTTGATTAATTTGACCTATCGCAGCCCTCACTTCACGCACGAGACCGACTTTCAGATATAAAAGTTGTACAGTAACAGCATTGGTTGCTTTTTGTTTTATGAAATTATGCAACCTCAGTGGCTTAGCTTGGGGGAGGGGCGCAGTCGGAAATCTAGAACTGGTAGTAAAAGTAATGGCGATAAAGGAGAGAGAGAGAGAGAGAGAGAGAGAGAGAGAGATTTCATGTAGCCCAGTTTTTAATTCTACTTCTCATAATATTACATTATATTATATACTAGAAAGTAGCGTGGCTGCAGTATCTTTAGCTACAAGAGGCAGGTGGGGTATGAGTGATTCGCAAATGCTCCAGTCGCAAATTTGTGCCCACTGGTTATCCTTATTTGCAGATACTTGTACTAATTACAGTAAGTTAACCAGGAGAAAATCCATATACTATTCGTCAGTCAATGGGCGAGTCTCTGCCACCTCTTGTGAACCATATAGATTCGTTAACTTGATCCGCATAAATTATTTTAAGTGGACATCATTCTTAGAAGTGCTGGAATCGTTCTTGTTTTATTTTCGTTATATAAGCTTACATGATGTAAATTATATTCCTGTCTAGTCGGAAATTTATAACCCCCCTGCAGAAAGACCACGATATGCCACTAGGCAATCTGCATATGTACAAAAAAAATAAACGAAACAAATTGTGACTTGATTTTAAACTTAATAATGTTTGGGAATGAAATAAAAACCAAAATACACTAAACTGATTTTTTTTTTATGTTCTTGGAGGGCCGTGACCCCACGTCGTCACTACAGTCTCCATTACAGAAACTCCCGATCCAGGATCTCTCTGTGTTGACAGGTATGGATATAGCAAGGAAAGAATCGATTAAGATACATTAATACTGATGTTAATCTACCCTAATAGATTCAGGGCTCGTGTTAATATCCATGTGTTATTGATCGTTAGCTAAACAACACTGCAGTAATACAGTATTACCCTTATGTAGGTAAATCAACTTGTCTTACAGCCAATGGCTACGCTAAATTGAAAATAATTTAATTTTCATAACTTGAATCATTAATTTATACTGTTTATCTCAAAATGCTGTATCAATATATACCAGTATCAATGACATATCCTTGTTATTAAGGCATCTAACCTGTTGGGTATTGTAATCTCAGTGAAATATGAAAACTGGATTGTCTCGCCCGTATACTTTTATTATGCTTCACTGCCATGATTGAAGGCGCCATTGCCGTCAGCTCCTTGACGTGTTTTGTTGACAACACTAATAATTAAGTTTTACCGTGTGTGTGTGTGTGTGTGTATATATATATATATATATATATATATATATATATATATATATATATATATATATATATATATATATATATATATATATATGTGTGTGTGTGTGTGTGTGTGTGTGTGTGTGTGTGTAAATAATGCCTCCCTCGCTCACACTTTATCTGGCTATCGCTATTTTTACCCGCATATCTGTTTCATCGTCATGCTATTTCGTATTCTTTATCATAAAATCCATAAGATTTTTATATCGTCCATTGTATATTTAGTCATCCATCGTTTTCATCTTTTTCTAGTACATTGTGTTCTTTCACAGATTCACTTGGACTATATTTAGTTGTTGAAGCTCAATAATAACATTATTACGTCAACGTTTAAGGGCATCCACTTTCTGTCACTTGTAAATACAGTATTTAGACCAAAGTTTATATAATACATTTATCTTAGTTTTACATCTGCCTATGTGTCTAGAGGTTTTCAACTGCTTGAGTTATTAAGCATAGTTTACTGTATTGTTGTCATGTTATGCGTGACTAAACTTTAATTCTCACAATTATCAAACAACGTATACGGATGAATTTAATGCATATATAAATTCCCCATTTTTTTCGCTACAATTCTTCTTTTTTACAAATTAGTATAAGAATATGTGTTTATGCATATGATATTGAAATTTTACGTACCGGTATATAAATTATTAAACAACTTTTTTGTAGACATTTTAATTGTTTATTATTTTCCTAACTAATTTTCATCTATATTTTTTTATAAAGTAATTATAGCAATTTGAATGTCCATGTTGAGTGGAGTTGGAATAGAATTATGATCCTAACCTTTAAAAACCCGAACTGGTGGGAATATTATGTCCTGCGGGAACCTGTAGGGCGGAGTTTTGACCTGCGGGAAGTTATCTAGGAGGTGGGATTTTGTTTAATAGTAAATTGTCTGATGATTTTTTGCTCAATGAAAAATTTTGTGAGGGCAATTTTTGTCCAATGGAAGTTTAGCAAGTTGAGAATTGTCTGTTGGGATTTTGTATGATAAGGTATTGTTGGGTTGGATTTCGTCCATTGGAAATTTTCTGGTGTCATTGGATTCCTTTTTATCACCCGTAAAATATTTAATGGGATTTTGCCCGGTGAGTTTTGTGCAATGGGAAGTTTACTGGTGGGATTTGGGGCTAAGGGAAAGTTATTTTGTTGAAATTGTGTACCGTGGGAAATGGCCTGGTAGGAGGTTGTCTGGTTGGATTTTTTTTTTTTTTTTTTTTGGTCCTTTGGTGGGGGAAGATGTCTCGGGAATTTGTCCAGAGGGAAGTTATCTCTTGATGTTTTGGTCAGAGAAAAGTTGTTGGGAATGATTCTGTCATGTCGGAAATTGTTTGGTGGGGTTTTGATTGATTAAAGCACTTTGGTGGGATTTTCTCCAGTGGGAAATTGTCGTGGGTTTTTGCCTGGTGGGAAGTTGTTTGGTTAGAGCTTGTCCTGTGGTGGGGGCAAGTATTCTGGAGGAATTTTGTCCGATGGAAAGTTGTCTATGAGATTTTGCTCGGTGGGAAGTTAATTTAAGGGATTTTGTCATATGGGAAGTAGCCTGGGAATATTTTGTCCGGTGGAAAGTTATTTGTGAGATTTTGTCCTCTTTAGAGGGAGTGAGGGGGGTCAAGGGATTTTCTCTGGCTAGCTTTTACGTGCACTCAGTCAAAATCCGAACCTCGCACTTTTACTGAACAAAACCTAGAAATGTCTATATATTTATTAATTGGTGACTAGGTTGTACGAGATAAGGGTAAGTCATGAAGATGTCTGGGTCTTGTGGAAGGAGAATACCATACCAGAACACAGTTTTCTGACTATATATATATATATATATATATATATATATATATATATATATATATATATATATATATATATATATATATATGACGATGTTTAGATTGTATCAATGAAATTTATAGGTAGTTAAATAAGTTTATTTAGATCGTTTTTTAAGGTTCTCTCAACTGGTGAACTTGATTGCAGACCATACTGTAAATATAACCAAAAACCGTTTCTTCTGTAGATAAACTTTGGTAAAAGTTTGTATGTACTTTGGTCAAACATGAGCTTCTGATGGGTAATGGTTTCTAAAAAGGTAAAATCAATTGGTCGTTGAACGTAAATGAATAAATGTCCATTTAGCATATTAAAGGCATTGGGTATGTGAGTCTATGACGGAAAAAGTATCGTCTGAAATCTGTTGGAGCGGAGTGCAGGACGCGGATGTTAGAGAACGCGTACTGCTTGTGTGAGAGGATGTTCATGACTCGGGGAGGGGCAGAGGTGGGGAACAGCTCCTCTCTCACGCGCCCTCTGTCTGTCTGTCTCATCACGCTCTCTCTATCATTATTTATGAGCACTAACTACCATCATTACTGAGATACGAATGATGCATATGCTTTTTGAAACTTTGTTACGTGATGCAGTTCAGCATGTAAGCGATAGCATTGTATGAGAAACAATGCACAAGCATGACAGACACTGCTGTGTTGCTCATGATGTCTCAGTGGCGTGCAGAAACGCACGTAATTTTATTCCTTCCCGGTACCCCTCATTATTTCGCATCAGGTGTTTTTCCTTTAAGTTTAATATATTACTCTTTTTCGGTATATTATACAAATTGTATTGCCTTAGAAATTGGTGCAGGCGAATTCTAGGGTCAGTTTAAAAATTGTTTTCAGATTCTTGTATTAGAGAGTCTGCGGTCCTCAGACCAAGAATTTCAATCCCCACACACAAAGTTGTCTCTATCAGCGGTGATGTTTTCCTCACAGCCCGGGAGTTTCTGCCCCGCGAGTCACTTAATACCAACCTTGGGGCCTCCTTAATTAATGTCACCTTACTATATTATATGTAGAAGACACACAGTGCTCTACGGGTCAATATATTTCACTAATATGTAAATTATAAATGTGTATTTTCGTGGTTATAATGTCTTGACAATAGTATGATAAAAGGGAGTAGAGAGTGAATGGAGGGGAGCAGGTGGCAGCACTGGTGGGTGTTGGCGCATGCGCATT